ACCTTAATTTAATCTGTGTTCTCCTTTTTAAGGAGTTCACTTATGAGCATCATACCCCCAAGCCTCTGATGTGAGACTTCTCTAAATAGTTGTATTGGGGTTTTTTAATTAATGTTGTTCAAACTGACAGAGCTCTCTATACAATCATGTTCTAAATACTCACAAGAAAAACATCAGTAGAGTTCTTCTGAGTTCAAAGTTAGAAGCAAAGTTCTTCACCCTGTTGCAGGTACCAAGTAAAGTTATGTTGATCTCATCTTTTGTTTAAGGAATGTTACTATCCTGTGTTGGAAAGTGCTAGTAGCTATAATAACATTATAATAAAATGAGTCCTCATTACAATATTAACAGAGTCATATTTTTCAACGTATCAAACCAAATATGCTTCTGAAAAGCCTCAGAGAAATTGTCAATGGAAAATTATTCACAATTCATGCATTATTAAGAAATATTAGAGCAAAGTTCTGAATGTTCAAGGTGACACTTGACATCTTAGGCAATGAAGGAACAGCTAATGCTATTACATGCTCTCACCATCTCTAAACATTATACATAGTTTTGTCATTAATTTCAACTGATTAATGCCTATATATACTCATGCTTTGGGCAAAATGACATTATATCAGTACATATTTAGCTTTTCAGTAGAAGCGAATTAATGAATCCCACCTAAAATACAACTGCATAAAAGATCCTTAAAATTAACCTGATTTATCATCTAAATCTGTTTTAGTGGCTTTCAGAGTTGGTCTTTTTTGTTCACTTGTGAAAAAGAGAGTATGACCTGTAAGCAGATGTAGGATCAGCCTGAGAAATGCATACAGCAGAAGGCTCTATTGTGCCTTTTTTTTTGTCAAAATGTTTGGAGAATAGTTAATATAAACAACAAAATTATCTGTCTCCAAGTGCCTGCTGGATAAAACTATGTTTAAATGATAATATGCTTTCTTCATTTTCTGTTAATGAAAAATGCCTGCTTTGCTTGCTTTTATGCTGATAATGTAAATCACTGTTTTTCTTAGATTTGTCTGAAATAAACCATGGACTCTGCAAAAGCCTTAATTAATACAAATGTGTTTTAAAGGAAAATTTGGATATTAAAGTCCTTAGATATTGAAGCCCTATAAATACATAATAAAAATTCTATAACAAATTTCTAAACAGTTTAATCTTCAGTTTACTAAGAAGAAAAAAATCAAGCTTTTATTTTGCTAATTTAAAAATTGTCACTGTTATTTCATTTTATT